TGTCCGATGACTTCACATACCCAATTGCCCCTACTCGCCGTCATTCTTCTTTTTATAGCTCGATAGTTTTTTGTCGCAGTTCAGAATAGACCAGAGCAATAATGTCATCTCGTCCTACGTTTGCTGACAGGGCAACAGGGTAGGCACAACGGCACCGACAGAAGTCGCGAATCAAACTCGTGCCTAGGCTTATCGCTGAACTGAGCCACTGACTATTAGCTGAGAGACGGCATGAGTCGGTAGTGAATAAGCGTGGTACCCGGAAGTAGAAGCTTGATCGAGTCATATCCGAGACTCAAGGTTTCATTCATAGTGGCACACTTTCGAGATAGGTGGCATCACGAATCAGTGGGATAATAAGCGAAAAAAGAGACGAATTATATTGGTTAATAATAACATGCAGGAGGAAGAAAAAGGAAAGGCGACATCACAGAGATCCGTCACCGAAGTGTCAATGTGCACTCAAGGCCTAAACCTTCTTGTACAACCCTGAACGACCATTTAAAAAGAAAACACCGAGATCAGGTTATAGTGTAAACGCCCTCAAGATACGAATCAGTATAGTTCGGTTCTAAAGCGTATTTCGATCAAAGGAATATGTATTTTAGCTTGTTACTGCGATGGAGCTTATGTGGTTGTGGGCACGAAACCAATCCACGTAACATCGCCGGAATTCCCGATAACGCACTGTTCTAAGGTTCGTTGCAAAAGACGATTCATCCACAACGACACATTACGCCAGGATTCTCACCTGGCATTTGCTGTCACCGTGCATTTTCTTAGTACTGAGGTACACGGTTATATTCAGTTCTATTCGGATGGAATAAATATGAGAAGGTAATTCTTCAAAAATTGTTGGCACTATTTACCCTTTACTGCCCCACTTTGTCGGGAATAGGCCGGATTTCCATCGAATTTTTTCCAAGAAGATGAAACCGACTAAAAACTTGCCTAGAGGGGTAATCTGACCTGTAGAACACGAATATCGCATCCATTTGTCATGAAAATGTCTGGGGCACTACTTAGAGGCAAGTTTTCAGCAAGATTGGTGACCCAGCTCTATTTGGCACCGGCGCCTGTGGCGCGAGCGCTAGACATCTTCATGACGAGTGGATGCGATATTCGTGTTCTACGGGTCGAATCACCTCTGTACTCAAGTTTCTAGTTGGTTTCATCTTCTTGAAAAAAAAATAGATAGAAATCCAGCTCATTCTCGACTAAGTGGGGCAGTAAAGGGTAAATAGTGCCAAATTGTTATTAGTGAGTCTTGCCCTTGTGATGAATTCAAGGTTAGTACAATCAGGTTGAACGGTGGTGACAAAGATGCGCGGTTGGTATTAATTGGAGACATTATGGAGACAGAATTCGTTACAGATAATTCGATGGAACACAATGGTTATAATATGACCGTTGAATCGATCCAACTCCCTACTGGTATGTAGAGTTTTTACAAAGCTACATCAGAGAAAAAAAGATGCAGATAGAGTTTTCTGAAGGGTAAGGCTCATATTTCAATTTAGAATCAAAAATAGCCGGTAAGTTTTTTTGGTATTCTGGCAAATTCCTGCATAATCTAGTGAACCGTGAAAAATTTCCAAAGTTCACTTTTACTTGTTTTTGAATTGACGTCACCTCTTTAATTGCGTCACCGGGTCCCATCCGAGGTCGAAATTTGTCCATCACTCGCCAACCTTGTGAGAATTTACCTTTACTATTACTGATTACTAGTTATGCCTTATATACATACCAGGCGGCTACGCACGCTATTGCGTGCGGTGGGGCTCTAGCCATAAGGGACGCAGCCACATGAGCTTCTGATTTTCATTATAGACCTTTGTCATCTGAGCCTCTTCCCTGACACTTCTGTAGTGGCCATCATTATTTTTGGGGCGTGAAATGGGGTTGAGTGTGGCCTTGAAGAGTACTCCGATGTATCCAAACTGAGTACCTCTGCAGTCCTTGTAGTCGGAGAAACTCTGTGTAGTTTGGGCTGTGTGTGGCCATGAAAACTAACTTTGGAAGAGAAACCCCTTCGGGTATTTGCAGGAAATTACACGTTTCTACAGGGTATGCAGCTGTTGGCCGGGGTTACTGTAGAATTTACTGTAGGATTTCATTTTATGAGGTCTGAAGTTGATGTAGCGCATTTGCTCTTGTGTAGAAGGGGCTACTGTGTGCCGAACCATGGATACTGACCTTTAAAAAAAACTTTAGCCTAATTTTGAAGAGAGTTTAGTGGTATCCCCTAGTTGTACACCTATGTGGTGAGGGTTAGTGTGAAGGACAGACGTATAAATTTTTGACCTCAGTCCCGCCCCCATCTTTGCAACCCCCCCCCACTTCGGCTTCGAACCACATTACTTTTATTATATCCAGACACCTTTTTCCCGCGTTACAAAACGCATCTGAAGAGACTAAATGATTTTGATGTAATCTCCGCCCACTCCAGTGCCAACTCCGCCCACATCTGGGCTTTGACCACATTTGTTCTTTAACACCTTAATACCTTTTTGCCGCATCCCAGAATGTTTCTAATTTTTGATCTAAGCCTCGCCCACTTTAGTGCCAACTCCGCCCACTTCTGGGATTTGATCACATTTGTTCCATAACCTCTAACCACTTTTTTCCGGCATTCTAGAACATTTCCGAACAAAGTTACACTCATTTTCAAAAAGTAGCTTCCACCATAATGCACGCCCCGCCCGTTGTGGGCGGGGCTTCGCTAAGCTTACGCATGCCCAGCACGCATGACTCTTTTTATTTTTTTCCTGGCCTCGACGCCTTCGTTGAATCGAGTTATGAATCTCTGTGGAAAGTGCCGCCCACTGCGAGAACGCTCCGCTCACCGCTGGTAAGTTTCCTTTGTTTTAGTTGTTGGCCCATCCCTCACCTTTGCACATTTTTTTCCGGCATCTGGACTGTTATGAGACCGAATGAGAATAATTAGCTCATGACCCCGCCCAATTCCGGCGCATGCCCCGCCCCTTGGGGGCGGAGCTCCGCTAGGCTCACATGTGCTCTGTTGCACTTATCCTACGCTCAACCCATTCCAAACTTGACCCGACTTCTCCAGTTGTTTCTTCAGATGATACTGAAATTTGTGACGACAAACAGACAAACAGACAGACAAACAACAGACACACCAAGGATATGGTTTATATATAGTAAGGATATCTCATAGCAGCATTAGGTTACAATAGATTTTACAAATTCAGAACTTTTTAAATTGCTTTTTCAAAAAAATTTTTACAAAAGAGGTCATTCATTGAGCGTATCAGTAAAAATATTGATGGCCCCTTTTGTCTGACTGTGGTGAGCCATATGGAATTCATGGTCAAACTCGAATTACATAACAATAAGTTTTTGTGGGACGCTTAAGCCATTCAAAGAGAGTCAATACATTATAATCGTTACTAAAAAAAAGACTTGATCAGCTCAGATGGGCTTTGATCCGCATCGTGTACATGCGAGGAATATACAGTAGCGCTCAAAAGTATTCGGCCAACTTGAACTTGCCGTAACTTTTTTCCCAGTGGTGCAAATCGCATGAAATTTCGATATGTTCAACTGAAGCATATTTCACACTATCCAACATTATTTGACTGCAAAGCAGCAATGCCCACATAACTAAGGGGAAGGCTTTTGTAGACTATGGTGAAAGCAAGCTTGTGACGTCTGTAGTCATTCGCACCTTATTTGCGTTTTCTCCTATTCTGTGTTCGGCTTTTGCGCTCGTACACTTTGGGCATGGCAAAAAGGAAAGAAATCCTAGAAAGGCCAACTCCCTACTTTCAGTTGGTTTTGATTTCAAGCTCTTTGGGATAATCGGAACATGATCAAAATGCAGGTTAATGGTGGTAGATATTCCCACTACACAAATGCTACACACACTGAAAATTCGCTTGATTAGTTCCAGTAGGAAAGGAGTTACGACTGAAAAGTACAACGGAAAAGTCATTTGGACGAATACTTTTGAGCGCTACTGTATGCTTAGACACTAATGCAATATGATATAGTAAAATATAATATAATATAAATAATATAATATAATATTTATAATATAATATAATATAATATAATATAATATAATATAATATAATA